ATGTGTCCCCTATTAGGTGTTCCCCTACCGAAGTAGTGCAGATTACTAAGAGGCAGTCTCGTGTCGGAAGTGATCGTAAAACTTTACGAACTAGAGCTCTCTATCGGTGACAATCATCGGATACAGAGTAGGTGAGGATTGACAGATATTTCCCTGTTTTTATTTTCATTCACCGACTTCAAAAAAAAGGAGATGCTCAGTTAGAGATCTATGTAAGTATGTATGTTTTTGCGCAATTGTCTCGCGATATACTGAACCGATTTTGATGCGGTTTTCAGAAAAGTGTTATCCCGTTTTTTTCCGTTCCTATAGTATTCAGGATTTTTTCTTGTCTTAAAAACTTTCACTTAATAATAGCAAATACAAAAAAATTAGAATTAGTGAACTACCGATCCAGCTTGATTAGCAATTGCAGCCAGTTTACGCGTGATGCCGTGACCAAGGGAAAAAGAGATATAAATTATTTTCGTTTTGTTTTAATAATGAATGAATGTATTCAAATAATGTTTATAAAAAATAAACACATTAACCTCAGACCACAAAATCACATCGACTGTATATTTTATAATAAATCTCAAGAAACATACATAACATAACATCACGCCTTTTATCCTCGAAGGGGTAGGCAGAGGTGCACATTATACCACTGTAAGTACAATGTAACACCCACTTTTCACTATTTATGTTATGAGTCCCATGTAATAGGGGGTGAGCCTATTGCCATATACCGGGCACAGTTCCAGACTCCGTGCTACTACTGAGATTTTTTTTTTAAAAACCCATTAATACTTTGCCCGACCCGGGAATCGAACCCGAGACCCCTTACCCGGCAGTCGCAATCTCAAGAAATATAATACAAATATAAATTCACAAAGAAATTGCACTCTCTACTTCTCCACCCTACTCTGTCCAATAAGGGCTGAGATTTCAATAAACGACATCGGTGTTCTGATTGCAACGTTTGAAGACGTTCTACATATCCTCGTTAACTGTGACAGACTGACAGACAGACATACCCGCATGTATCTATACGTATGGTTACTGACAACTATATATGATATTGTTCGTGGTATGATAGTAATATTATAGCGAGGAGTGATTTTGTAAGTGATTATGTTATGGTTTGATATATATATTTAGCGGATGGTGTGCTGGCAGGAGGTTTGTTAGAGAATAAATGTTTTTGGAAAGAAAACATTATGGGAAGATTGTTAAAATGGTAAACAACCTAAGCAGATACAATCCTCAACTAATTTATATTTTAAGAGAATAAGCACTGTGAGCACGACTATCTTATAAAAGGAGAACCGTATTTCTAGATTTATACAGTGGTGTCAAGTTCGGTAATATGCACCTCTGCCTAAAACTTTGGGTATAATGTTATATAACGTTATTTCCAGTCATACATCTCGATAATAAAAACAGCCGACTTAACAATGTAAACCATGACTGTAGCATAAATAACCGTTTCAAGTAAAAAGTAAGCGTCATTAACTATTTGTAAAACTACATTCATAATCATTATCATTAACAGGCGGAAGACGTCTACTGCTGGACAAAGGACCTCCCCCTTAGTCCTCCACTTCGAACGACAACTCGCCACCTGCATCCACTGGCTCCCCACAACTCGGGCGATATCGTCGGTCCACCTAGCAGGAGGCCTGCTCATACTTCGTCTTCCGGTTCGTGGTCTCTACTCAAGGACTTTACTAGCTCATCTGCCGTCAGTCTGTCGAGCAACGTGGCCTGCCTATTACCATGTCAGTCTGCAGATTTTGCGAGCTAACTCTAGTTCTTTGGCGAATTTAAACATTTTGTCGCGCAAAGAAAAACCGAAAAACTACATTACTAGCCGAGTAATTAACAAAAATACCATAAATACTTCCTGACATTAACTAAAAACATTTGACGGATAACTATGACCCTAAATAAGTACTTTATGAGATTTTTGCAGTTAATGAGACGCGAACTAGAATCCTTTGACGATAGACCCAACGGTTCGTGAAAGGGTAAGATTAATTACTGACATTTTGTTTTAGATGCAAAAATTATAAAAGGTCGCTTTAAAATGGTGAATATTTTATAATCAACTTTGTTGAGCTCATTAGGGATTTTGCAGTTAAACGACACGTGAAATTATGTCTTCGTAGAAGAGGTGTACTTTTATAGTAGGATATTGAATTGCTTTGATGATGAATGTACTGTTTCGCATTTTTCATGGGTGGGGCAAACAAGCATACTGATTTATAACCTGCCACATCAACCCGCAATACCAGAGGAGTTACATATGCGTTGTTTGTCTTAAATACAAAGATCTGAATTGTGATGTGTGATTACAATTCAGAGCTTTCCGTAGAACTAACATACAAAAACCACATAATACTTTTAACATGCTTAACATGACAGGATTCTAAGTCCGAGTCCATTACCATACTTCAAGCAAGTATACAATTCCAATATACCGTTGAAGGAAATTTGGAAAAACTTCCAAATAAATTTAATGTAGCGAAGGAAAGAATACATAATTTTCACATTTATTGGTCTTCGTCCAACGCTAATAAACTCTCGATTCGCCAGATTTATATTAACATTCAAAGGGAAGGAGCTTTTGAATGAAGATTTTCATAGGATACATTAAAATCTGTTTCCACCGATGTGATGTTTTTATGTGGTACAAAATATGAGTGGAGCGAGAAAATAATCCATTACATGAAATTGTGTGAATAATTTTAAATAATCTATAAAACAGATTTTTATTTAAACAGATCAAGATAAGAACAAATAAGCAGCGCAACTGCAATGCTTCTTTATTTCAATAAAATGTAGCTTTTTTATGCTGAACAAAAACTAATGTGGTTCCCAATAAAACATAGGACTTTCGGAGATTTGTTTTAATAAAACATTTTATAAATACAATACATATTATTATCACACAATCAAACATGTTGTCTATGACGGCTGTTCCCTCATCCCTTGCACCACTCCAACTGTCCGTCGGGACAGCAATAACAAGTCTATAAACCGTTTTTACTGCCTTTGTTCAAGTAAATCTATGTCGGTTTTGACTTTTTAAACAATGACCGTGTTTTTGTATGGGAACAGAAGATAATTCTTGAGATGTTTTTGAATAGGAAAATGGCGATTTGAAAAGAAAATTCTAGAGATTTAAGTTTTATTGTTCGGTCGTTCTCTTTGGTTCATTTGCTGTACTCATTGTATTTTTTGATGCTAATCTACACAATAGCGGTGCTCTTATACAGTTCGGTTTTGAGTCAGTTAGAGCTACTTTTGTTCCTTTCAAAACAAATATGGCGACCATTCGTTTTTGGTTAACAATTACATAATGAAATTTTAAATATCTTGCGCTTTTGTTTTATAGCTATTAAACTGGTTAAAACCCATTTTTGATAGATAGGCGTAATTCCCAGGCCGTTAAATTTTTAAATTAAATTATTAAATGTGGTAGAGCCATGCTTCGGCACGAATGGGCCGGCTCGACCGAAGTGATACTACGCCTCACAGAAAACCGACGTGAAACAACGTGTTGTGTTTCATCGTATGAGTGAGGTTACCGGAAGCCCAATTACCCTCCTCCCCCTCTTCCCCAATCTCCCCAAACCCTGAATCCCTAACAATCCTCAAATTCCTAACCCGCAAAAGACCAGTAATGCACTTGTAACACCTCTGGTGTGCTAGTGAGTGTGTGCGACGTCGATTGCTTACCATCAGTCGTCCGTCCGCTCGTTTACTGGCTTATCCCATAAAAAAAACTAAAGACTTCATCTAAACTTCTAACTAGATATACATCGAAACTAATATATATCTTGAGTACAGTATGTAAGTCCATATCACGTAAATGAACTCATAAAATAAGGACAAAGAGACTATTGTCTGCGGTGTGTGGGTCAGGAATTGAATAATTGTTTCAAAATGTGTCACACGCCAGACTAAGACATTAGGAGATTATTCAATTATTCGTACGTAACATTATCGCCCACTCGCCCAATTATTACACTTCATCAAAATAGAGTTGCAAATATTTAGATAGAACTACGAGCTCATATTGTAAATTAGGTATCTATTAAGGTTTTAATGAATAATTTTGTATAGAACTTATGGTGCCGACTTCTAACCTCCGTGGGTGGGTAACCTATCAGTACTAATGACAGTAATTTTTTTCTTTTTAGATTACACTTTTGTGTTTGTTATTACTTTTTGGTTTATTGAAGTCGGTTTTTTAAACGCAGTTTTTATTTTATAATTTTCAGTGTAATTGCATTTCGGTGGCCGGTACTTTTACCTGGGCGAGTGTTGCTAGATTTATTTATTTTGTGGCCAAAGTCCAGTTTTGAAAAGTAAACAAAAATAAAAGCTACTCTTGTTTCGAACCATAGCAGGAGTCCTAACGTGATATTTCATCTGATAGCTTGGCTGAAAGTTTGCAATTTCAAAGTCAAAGACAAAATCATTTATTTTAATTAGACTAGAAAGGCACTTTTGAACGTCAACAAAAAATTAAAAGTGAAGCTATTTGCTCATTCCAAAGTGTAGATTCCTATGGAGAAGAACGAGCAAGAAACTCCATAGGTTAAGTACTCTTTTTCAATCAGGTTTACAATACAATTCTCTGGTTATATATTTTTGTTGGTTCGAAATTTGAATATTTTTATGCATTTTATTTCAAAATGTTGACGTGTCATTACTTTCACGTATAAACAAGTCAGTCAATTTTATACCTTAACAGTAATATAACAATGTATGAAATGCAATGATGAAATAATAATTTTGGAAATAGGTTACAAAGTGACACTTTTATTCGTCAATCTTTAAATTACTAGATGAGTGCCAACATTTCCTGACTGACTACTCTGAGAAAAAACGCCGAAACAAACTCAGAGTCATCTCTAAACATTCTTAACCCCAAAAAAACCATCCAACCAACTTCATTCGACAGTTTTGGTCCAAAAAATTTCCACAACACTTGGAACTCTCATTCAAACATGACACCTTTTCTCATACTCTTCGTTATAACCCTGGTAAATTCAGAAGATACCGGCAATGATACCATATGTGACGGATTCCAGGCCAACTTCAATTTGAAGGATGTGATCGGTGAATGGCAGGTGGTTGCTATCATACCTGAGAAGTTGTTCCCTGAGAAACAGGTGACTTGTTATAAAGTGGAGATCAGTGAGACTGATGGGGTGAGTGTTGATTTATTTTTGTTTTAAATACAGGCAATGATATGACGTTTTTATATATTTTTTTCTAATAGGTACGTAGTGATTTTTCTTTAGTGTTTCGTTTTCATATTAACTAATTTAATTTTAAGTTGTAAATATGTTAGCCATGCAGCTATTTTTTGTTTATATATTTAACTAGCTTCTGCCCGCGATTTCGTACGCGTAATCCCATTTTTTCCCGTCCTCGTTCGTGACTTTCGGTAAAAAGTAAAAAAAAAAATTGTTTAAAAAGTATCCTATGTCGGTTTCCTGGCTCTAAGCTACCTCCCTACCAATTTCAGCCAAATCTATTCTGCCATTCTTGAGTTATAAGTGGTGTAACTAACACGACTTTCTTTGTTATATATAGATGAGTATTTAGTTTATAGTTAATATTTAGTTATGATTTAATATTCATATAATTCTTGTAAGTAATAAAAAAATCTCAGTTTTAAAAAAGAGCTTTTGAAAACATTTGTCAAATAAATTGGTCACCTCATTGTTAGAATGTTTGCGGACCCTCGGATCAGTTTAATTATTCTGGGTTCCAGTAAAATATATTTTAATCGTAATTATTCTACAGTAATTATTTCGTTACAGGCTAGTCTAAGATGGTTGATAAATAAAACAATAGATTCTCCAAAAGAATTCCTTCCAAACGACACAAATGGGATTATAGTACGGCAGAGATATCACACAGAAAACCCCTTCGACGTCTGGTCCAAGTCTATACAAGGAGTGAACGGATGCTTCCAACAAGTCCTATCCTTAGATATCTCGAAGAAAGATATACGTAAGTCATATTAAATTCTATGAAAAAGATTATATATTATTGGATATTTTTCACTACATAACATAACATCACGTCTTTTATCCCCGAAGGGGTAGACAGAGGTACACATTACGGCACTTAATGTTACTGTACAATGTAACACACACTTTTAACTATTTTATGTTATAAGTCCCATGTAATAGGGGGCGAGCCTATTGCCATATACCGGACACATTTCCAGACTCCGTGCTACTACTGAGATTTTTTTGAAAAACCCAGTAATATATTGCCCGACCTGGGAATGGAACCCGAGACCCCTTGTTCGCACTTCCAACCACTCGGCCAACGAGGCACTTCAAACACCTTCATCATTATTGTTTCAGATAAAGCCCTAAGACACGATGCAATGATGCAACTCCATCTTCTAGAAGTTAAAGGATCTGAACCATTCCTCATGCAAATGTTATGGGGGAGGATGATTGCTCTCGTCATCTATCGCAGAAAACCGGTAATTGTTACGTATCATCTTCCTTCTAGTTTCTTGAAATAGGAGATAGAGGTTTAGTCTATTATCTAATATTTCATGACATACGTTTTGCGTAGATAATGCCCCATTCTAATAGGAATTATTCCCTACAACTTGTTATGGCACTAAAATAACAAATATTAATAAATAAACTTGATAAGGTATAATTCCAGATTACACTATTTAGAATAAAAAATCTAAGAACGACGTAGTTTAAATAAAAAAAAGTTTAAAAATCGAATCAAATCTAATATTAATTCAATTTGATTACAGGAAGTAACACAAGACGAGTTGAAACCAGTATTTGAGCTGATCACCAAGCTCCGTGGACCTCAAAGGTTGCCAAAAATATGTGAGAATCCTTTGAGAGATATTTTAGTGTTCTAAATAATCTTCTCGTCCCATCATTGGAGACATATTAAGAAATACAGTAAATACAAATGTGTTATAATTTCATTTATGTTTAATTTTGTGTAAGATATATCATACCCCCTGTGTTTAGCTTCATTATCTTTATACAACTTTTGACAGTCCACTACCAGACTATATACCTAGTTATTTTTCTGTCACCGACGGAGGGTGCAAATGGAAACTATGATCATTTTACTAAGTTTATTATAATTAAAATCTAACTAACTTAAGTGCGAATGCGTCCGAAGTTGGAACAACATTGCTTTCATATCTTAAATTTTTTTCGTAAGAAGGTTTTTAATAAAACCTATTGAGGTTAAATCTTGTGGGTCATTGATGATGTAGCGATTAGTTGCTGGGTGCGGGGCGGCGACATGAGGAGACAACTCAGCAGTTTGGATGTTGCAATACTCCATAGAACCTTCGTTGCATCAAAATAGGTGTAATGTCCTGATTCAGCAGATCTGGGCCTCGTGGCATGGCGTTGATCACGTTGGTACATGTGTCGGTACAAATACGTAACAACCTCCTATACATAACAGAGTTTATCAAAATACTCAAACTTGTTAGGCAGGTTACAGACCACATTTTAAAAGGTTTAATCTTTTATGAAACTTACCGATAAAAATACAGCGAACAGTTTATTGCTTATCAATTTAAAATGCAATAAATCTTCGTTTTAAGTTATTTGCTAGCCGATGTCCGTTGGCTAACAAATAGTGGCGGTGCACGCCACCATAACGGTGCACCGCTATATTGTATGAAAACGCCAATAAAGCAAAAATAAACTAACGCTATGAGGGCAAAGAGTTGCTAATTAGTAGATGTGACAAGTTGGTGTGTAAGGTATAAAAAGCTGTTATTAAGAATTGTGGATAACCTCTAGGAGTATGTATACATCTTGCTATATTAAGGTACTTTAGGGAACAGAGAGTAAAATATACTACCCATATATCCCCAAGCGGTCACCGGTGACCGCTCTCCACTAACTACATTATAGATTTTATTTCCAACGTTTAGAGACTACTTTTGTATGAACAAATTTAGGGGATGATTTTCAACAGGATCGGAAAAGTAGGATCCTCCGACTAGACGAGGTGTTCGTGGCTGGCGGGCTTTCTGCCCAACAGTTGTTCGTTGAGATTATCTATCCATGTAAATTCGCATGTAGACTTAACATGTGCGATGTAGGATTTTTGTGACGTCATCCGTTGATTAGCTTTTCACCATTGGTCTTTGTACGTGTGCTATCACTTGACATGTGGGATATGTCGCCATAATAGATAGTGATAACTTTAAATTATGTCCTGAGGACGGAATGCTACCTAATAGAGGCTGATAAGTTTCATTTAAAGACAAAGAAAACAAATTTCATTAAATACTTTTACAAAACGTATAATTATATTGCCAATATTTGTGTAGTACACGTGAAAATTGATACAAAATGCAATGTACTACGATGTTGTCACATTAACACCAAATTTTATATTTATTTATTTATTTACACTTTATTGTACACCATAAAACATACAGAGAAAAATAAAAATATAAAAATGTGTACAATGGGCGGTCTTATCGTAGATTGTGATTTCTTACAGACAACCTTTGGATGGAGCCAGTAATCTGAGTACCAAGCAGGAATAACTATCGCAATCGTAACGTAATAGTATCAAGTATGTTCGGCGCTCTGATTGGCCGGCTCTAGTAAACCAACCAATCAGATTACGTTACGACATATATGTACCTAACGTATCATAGATCTGTGTAACTGCTGTCGGTTCTTACGTACCTCGTAAACGTTCCAATATCCTTTGTCGCTTCTACGTAAATTATTAATCTATGTACCTTACCGTTCTATCGTGGGTTCGTGACATTACCTTATTAACTGGTTTTCTTTATTGTTAGTGTTCTGAAGATAATTCTTTTTGGTAACGTTTTGTATGTAGCGTGAACATAATGTGCTCGATTTTGTCATTATTGTGGTTTACGAATTGTCGGAAAACGTTGAAATATTTATAGTTTGGAGTTAAGTGTCGTGGTGTAAAGGTAGATATTGATAGTAGTCAGTTTTGTACTGTAATAAATAGTGTATTTTGTAATCATGTCAGGATCATGATCAATTATTAATATTAATTATTCCGTCTACTTGTGTAAGCAGATACTGTATGAACTTAAAAATCATAATACCTGAACATGGTTATCTAAATTCTTTTGTCAGTTGGTCATAATTAAATACATAAATTTATCGTCATCTGAAAATCCAGGGCTGTGGAACCGCAAGAGTTACCAGGGTTCAAGCTCAAAGAAGGAGTAGGAAGTGTTTTTTAGTCAGTGAGAGTCAACACTCCCTCTCGCCTCTTCAAGGAAGATATTCGATGATTTTATCTCTTAAAAAAGTCATCTGAAAATGATACAACTGAAATACGGTTAACAAAAGTTACACTGAGTAAACTCCTATAGATTCATTTTGTTTGGACATCGTACAAACATGTTTGATTGTCCACTGAGTACATAAATACACACAGACACACAGACGGCATCAGGTGTCGGTAGCTACCAGTGATTGATTCGAACTGGACAACAATACAACCAAAGCCAATGCATTCAATGTACAGGTTGATTCAAAAAGACGATGTTCCAAAAGTGTGGTTGGAAAATGATAATTTTATTTAAAACTAGCAGACCCAACAGACGTTGTCCTGCATATCCACTTGAATGTATAAACAAAAATTCATTCAAATTAGTTCAGCTGTTTAGGATAAATAATCAAAACATCGACTGCAGCGCCATCTGCCGGGCTGATTTGTGAATCTAAACCATTCCCAGATCCTCTTGAACACATACAAAAAAATTCATCAAAATCGGTACAGTCGTTTGAGAGAAGTTCAGTGACATACACACTCACAGAAGAATTACATATATAAAGATTATGATCAGTTGTAATTTTTTAAAACGACCTTTTCGCCGTTTAGCATTTATCGTCATGTAGGTAAGCTGAACGTGAACAGCGTAACAGCTTACTCCTCCATGGAGCAAAGTAGTAAGTATAATATGGTTATCTTGTAATCTAGAAATACTTTGTTTTATCTAAAGGATCAGATGCAAATACCAAAGTAATCTTGAACAGACTAAAGAATCGTAAATACGCAACAATTTAACATTTTTTTTTCTTAATCAACTCTAGCCCACTCTAGGTTTATCTCCTGGGTCGTAGGTACGTTTACAAACATACAAGTTCACATACACATGACACCCAGTCCCGAAATAACAATTTGTGGATCGCACAACAATCACCGACTTCTAAAGAAAAAGACGTAATCTTTAAAAAACACAACCATAAATTCACCTCCAGGAAAATGATCCGAGAAAAATCTGTCCGCGAAAATCAAACTAACATCCCCTGTAGTGTATGACAGGCATGACAAGCTGAGTCGGCATACAAAGGGTGTTCCACTTGGCTCGTTTTATATCTATTGTTTATGCGCGACAGGGGACCAGCTTGATGGAATACATGCTTTAATGACGGTAGCCAAGGTATAAATAAAAAAGGTTTGATATAAATGACAGGGGTTCAGTTTTGAACACAGCCTGTATGTTGTGGATTGTTTAAATGATATTCTATATTTAAATATAAATATTTGTCTTTAGGAATTTTAACGAAAGAAAATGAAATAAGTCACACCTTGATTGGTAGGTTAATTCTTGCAATACTCTAATATTTTCCCAAAATATGTATAGTTTTTGACACTATTAGGTTAGGACTCAATGTTAGTAGTCGTCGGCATGGATGGCACGGTCCCTGGGTTCGATTCCCGCTCGGAACATTTGTGTGATCCACAGATTGTTGTTTCGGGTCTGGGTGTCATGTGTATGTGATCTTGTATGTTTGTGCACTCAAGACACAAGAAAAAATCCTAGTGTGGGGCACTCCTAGAAAGTTTCAAACTCATAAAATAACTACCAAAATGTAGGTGAAGTATAACCACATCTTTACCTAGCACACAGCATAAAATACCAGTTGGTATAGTATGATAATCAACCAAAATCCAATCAAACATTTTGATTGTCCCTGACCGGAATATCAAAAACTTTTAATAGTCATTTAACTCCCGGAATCTCATCTTTGCAGTACCGCGTGACGTAATTACCTAAGTCTTTTAGCAATGAAATAGCACATAAAGACCATTTTATAATAGGACCATAAAACTGACTCGGATAAGGGCGAAACTGCAAGTACTTTTTCTAATTTTACGATTCACTTTTTCTGATCCCTTCAAGCTTGAAGCTGGTTTTTGTACACCTGTGTTTTATTGTTGTGGAAGATTCTTCTGTATTGAGTGATCTTATTGGAAACTAGCTCCCGCTCTGCTCGACTCCTATGTAGCATGAGTTTTTATAGCCTATACCATACCTCGATAAATGAATTATCTAACACAAAAATAATTAATAAATCCGACCCCTAGTTTCGAAGATTTAAGAAGCGCGTTTAGACGAAAAAACTCTTCCGCGTTATATAATAAAATGAAGTAAGTATATAAGAGTATACGACTTGTCTATTTCTCTGTGGTGGGTGGTGGAAAAATTACGCATATTGACATTTGACCTTTGAGGTAGATCACGAATTAGTATGTCGTGGTGGCCTGGAGGTTTAAGATGCCCGCTTCTCCGTGCAGCAGTGGGTATTTATAGGCTGTTGAACCAGGAACAAAAATTAGCTTTGTAAGGATATATTAAAACAGATGATATTGTAACCAAGTGTGAACAAACTCCTTTACACGGATCTACAATTTTGATTTTGGTTACAGATTTAATTGGAAACGAATTGTATGTCCACGTTAATATTTATAAAGCTCTTTAAATTAAGGACATACAAACATCGAGTTTCAATACATCAACCACCAACACACAAAAATTCCTAATTTAAATTCCAAAAATTCATTTCATAAAACAAACAAAGAGACCCTCATTTTAGTCGA